TAGTATTCAAGAGGTTTGAAAACTTTTTTTTAGAATTTTTGTTTCCCCTTGTCCCCCTCCCCTCTACCTTTTGTTTTGTAGGGACTTCACTTAGAAGTATATTAGGTCTCTTGAAGATTTCCTGCAGCTGGTTGATGGTCTGCTCACTTGTTTTTCTACAATTTTTTGTTTCATTTTGATAGTTTCTAGTTTTGTATTCATGTTCATTAATCTTTCCTCTACAATATATAATCTCCGGTTCATCTCATCCAATTTATTTTTCATCAAATATTGTTGTTTTAATCTCCCAAAGTTGTGTTTCCTTTTTATGTTTTCCATGTCTCTACTCAACATGTTCAGTGTTTCTTCTAGCTTCTTGAACGTATAGAATACAGTTGTAATAATTTAGTGGCCTTGACTACTAATTTGATCATCTATGTCTTTTCTGGTTGGTTTAGATTGCTTTTTATCATTATTGGGTCATATTTTCCTGTTTCTTTCCATTCCTGGTAATTTTTTAAAAGAGATGTGGTCTTGCTATGTTGCCCAGGCTGGAGTGCAGTGCCTCCTCATAGTGTGATCATAGCACACTAGAGCTTTGAACTCCTGGGCTCAAGTGATCCTCCTGCTCAGCTTTCTGAATAGCTGGGACTACAGCTGCACCACCATTCCTGGCCCTGGTAACTTTTGATTAAACACATTCTGAATTTTACATTATTAAATAGTTTACTCCTATAAATATTCTTGAGCTTTTGTTCTTGGACATGATTATTTGAAAAGTTTTATCCTTTCAGATTTTGCTTTAAATGACTCTTAACTAGTACCCAAGAGGCATTTAGACTAGGCTTTATTTCCCCATTATTGAGGCAACATTCTTGAGAATTCTACCTGGTGCCCTGAAAATGATGAGATTTTTCTCACTCCTAGTCATGGAAACAAAAACTGTTGTCAGAGCTTTCTGAGCTCTGAGGATTGTTCCAATTATTCAAGTGGTTCTTTCCCTTGTCTTGTGTAGTTTCCTCACATATAGTCACTGATGATTTCTCATCTGAAAATTTTGAGGGAGATCCTTTCATTTCCAGAGTTCTCTGTATAGCTCTCTCCTCTCTAATACTGTGCCCTGTGAATTCTAGCCTTCTTAGCCTCCCCAGATTCCTATCTCTGCCTCTTCAACCCAAGGTCACAGCCTAGAAACTTACTCCAGGTAATAAGCTGGGAGAAATAAAGGGCTCACCCCTCTCTCAGAAACCACTGTCTTTTGTTGCTTCATGTCCAGTATTTTAAAACTGTTGATTTGTAGCTTTTGTCAGGCCTTTTAATTTAGGCAGTCTGTATGCACTGATGACCCTCATATTTAATAGCAATCTGCTTTTTGTTGTTGTTGTTGAGATGGGGTCTTGTTCTGTTGCCCAGCTTGAAGTGCAGTAGCGTGATCACGGTTCACTGCAACCTTGAACTCTCAGGCTCAAGAGATTCTCCTACCTCAGCCTCCTGAGTAGCTTGGACCACAGGCACACATCACCATGTGCAGTTAATTTCTTAATTTTTTGTAGAGATGGGGTCTCGCTATGTTGTTCTTGCCTGTCTTGAACTGCTGGGCTCAAGCATTCCTCCTGCCTTAGCCTCCCAAAGTGTTGGGATTACAGGTGTGAGCCATCATTCCTGGCCTACAATATGTATTATATATATATGGTCTCGCTCTGTTGCCCAGGCTGGAGTGCAGTGGTGTGATCTCTGCTCACTGCAACCTCTGCCTCCTGGGCTCAAGCATCAAGCAATCCTCCCACCTCAGCCTCCTGAATAGCTAGGACTATAGGCACACACCACCATGCCTGGTTGATTTTTTTGTTTGTTTTGGTAGAGACAGGGTTTCACCATGTTGCCCAGGTTGGTCTCAAACTTCTGGGCTCAAGCAGTCCTCCCACCTTGGCTTCCCAAATTGCTGGAATTACAGGCATGAGCCACCATGCCTGGCTCTATAGTATTCTTTAAATGTCAGTTAAGTCAAATCAGTTTGATATTATTCATAACTTCTCTATCCCTGCTGATTTTTTTGGTCTCTTATTCTTTTAATTACTGAAAACTGGAGGTTAAACTATCCCACTATGTGGATCTATTTGTCCCTTTAGTTCGGTTAGATTTCACTTCATGTGTCTAAAGTCTGTTATTTGGTGTATACACATTTAGGAGTATGTCTTCCTATTAAATGGATCCTTTTACCATTACAAAACATCCTTTTTTAATCTCTGGCAAAACTCATTTTTTGACATCTACTTTGTCAGATATTAATATAGCCCTGAAGTGTTTTTTATGCTTGTTTCCCTGGTACCTTTGTCCATACTTTAAACTTTCATTCTATTGTTGATATGGTTTGCTTTGTGTCCCACCCAAATCTCATATTGAATTGTGATCCCAAGTGTTGGAGGTGGAGCCTGGTGGAAGGTGATTGGATCATGGGGCTTGTAGCCCCTTTGTTTTGGGCCAATTTTTCCCTTTTGGAATGGGAGCATTTACCCAATGTCTGTACCCCCATTGTATCTTTGAAGTAACTAACTTGTTTTTTATTTTATAGGATCATAGGTGGAAGGAACTTGCCTTGTCTCAGATGAGACTTTGGACTATGGATTTTTGAGTTAATGCTGAAATGAGTTAAGACTTAGGGGACTGTTGAGAATGGATGATTGAAATTTTGTGTGAGAAGGACATGAGATGTTGGAGGGGACATGGTTGGAATGATATGATTTGGCTTTGTGTCCCCACCCAAATCTCATGTTGAATTTTGAACCTGAGTATTGGAGGTGGGGCTTTGTGGGAGGTAATTGGATCATGGAAGTGGTTTTTAATGGTTTAGTACCATCCCCCTAGTGCTGCCTCATGATAGAGTTCTCACAAGATCTGTTTAAGAGTGTGTAGCGCTTCCCCCTTTGCTCTCTCTTCCTTCTGCTCCTGCCATGTAAGACATGCTGACTTCCCATTCACCTTCCACCACGATTTTAAGTTTCCCAAGGCTTCCTGAGCCATGCCTCCTGTCTAGCCCGTGGAACTGTGAGTCAATTAAACCTCTTTTCTTTATAAATTACCCAGTCTCACGTAGTTCTTTATAGAAGTGTGAGAACAGTCTAATACAGTTGTCCTTTTAAAAGTGTGTCTCAGCCTTTCTCATGGCAAATCTGCCTTCTTTTGGATCACTGTTCCCCTACATAAGGATTTTTTTCTCTCTCTATTTTTAAGATATTTCTGTGTTTGGTTTACAGAATTTTCACTATTATATGACTAAGCAGGATTTTTTTTTTTTTTTTTTTTTTTTTTGAATCCTGCTTAGGGCTTGTTGAGCTTAGAAAATCTACAGGTTGTCATCTTTTCACCACATTTGTGATATTCTCAGCCATAACTATAAGAACCTTTTTTCCTGCCTCATTTTCCCTTTCTTTTCCTCTTAATATTGTCATACAGGTCTTAGATGCTCTTTTTATATTTATTCAATCATATTCTCTTTGTTCTTCAGAGTGGAAATTTACTATTTATCTGCTTTCAAGTCAACTGACTTTTCTGTCATCACCAATCTGCTGTTAAGCCAATATTGGGAGTTTTAAATGTTCAGATAATATTATTTTTGGTTCTAGAGGTCCCATTTGGTTATTTTACCTCTAAACATCCATTCTCAGTTTTCTTTTCTGCCTGCCTCTAACATATTGGGACTCCCTGGTTTCTACCTTGTCCCATTCATTGATTTCTATTTGTCTAAGATTCCTCCCCATCTATTCACTCATTATGGCCATCTCTTCCTTTAAATCTTCAAAAATATGAATAATAAGGGTGGGTCTTTCCCATGCTGTTCTTGTGATCGTGAATAAGTCTCATGAGATCTGAGGTTTTATAAAGAGGCGTTCCCCCACATATGCTCTCTCTTACCTGCTGCCATGCAAAACTTGACTTTGCTCCTCCTTTGCCTTCTGCTATGATTGATTGTGAGGCCTCCCCAGCCATGTGGAACTGTGAGTCTATTAAACTTCTTTTCTGGCCAGGTGCAGTGGCTCAAGCCTATAATCCTGACACTTTTGGGAGGCCGAGGTGGGTGATCACCTGAGGTCTCAGGAGTTCAAGACCAGCCAGGCCAACATAGTGAAACTCTGTCCCTACTAAAAAATACAAACTACTAGCCAGGCATGGTGGTGGGCACTTGTAATCCCAGCTAGTCAGGAGGCTGAGGCAGGAGAATCGCTTGAACCCGGGAGGCGGAGGTTGCAGTGAGCCAAGATGACACCACTGTACTCCAGCCTAGGTGACAAAAGCAAAACTCCAACTCAAAACAAAAACAAAAGCAAAACCTCTTTTCCTTTATAAATTACCCAGTTCTGGGGTAGGTTTTTTTTGTTTTTTTTGAGACGGAGTCTCGCTCTGTCACCCAGGCTGGAGTGCAGTGGCATGATCTTGGCTCACTGCAAGCTCCGACTCCCAGGTTCATGCCATTCTCCTGCCTCAGCCTCCCAAGTAGCTGGGACTACAGGCGCCCGCCACCATGCCCAGCTAATATTTTTTTTTTTTTGTATTTTTAGTAGAGAGGGGGTTTCACTGTGTTAGCCAGGATGTTCTTGATCTCCTGACCTTGTGATCTGCCCACCTTGGCCTCACAAAGTGCAGGGATTACAGGCGTGAGCCACTGCACTTGGCCAGTCTGGGGTATGTCTTTATTGGCAGCATGAGAACAGACTAATACAAGTGCCTAGAATAGTCACTGATAAACAGTAAACTGACTCATGAAAATCAGCCATTATTAGTATAATTATAAACCTCTGGCAGAATGAGTTACAAATTTATGCTAATTTTAAAAATTAAGTATTACCAAAAAAATTTGCAAATAATAGTCTGATTAAGAACTGATATTCCTCGCCTCTCTTCCTTTCTCCGCCATCATGGTGTGTGCTTGACTCTGCTTCTCGCCATGTCTTCTCACAAGACTTTTGGGATTAAGCAATTGCTGGCCAAGAAACAAAAGCAAAATTGTGCTGTTCCCCAGTGGATTCGGATGAAAACTGGTAATAAAATCAGGATTTTATTAATAAAATAAAACCAAAAGGAGACAATGGAGAAGAACCAAGCTGGGTCTATAAGGAACTGCACATGAGATGGCAAACATATTTATGCTGTCTGAAAGTCACAATCATGTTACCATATCAAGGTGAAAATGTCACCACTATCTGGAGAGTTTGACATGTTTTGTTGGGAATATATTTTTTCTCTCTGCATCTGTTATGAACGCATTGGTTGGCTAGGTTCAGTAGTAAATATGTGAGGCCTTTCATTTCAAAAACAAAAAAAATTTACATTCCTCAATGTACTTATGCATTTTAACAATGATTTTTATATAAAAAGCAAAGGAAAGCAGCAAGTTTAAGCCAAAAAACAATAAATAAAATAATAAATTTTCTTTAAAAATATAATTAAGTTTTAGTGGGGCTTTCTTTTAAAATATTGAAATATAAAATTTATTCAAAAGCAAAATAACAGCTTCTATGAAGTATGAGCTACATATAATAAGTAAACACAGCACAGTACCAAAAATTCCATTTTTTTCAACATATCGGTATCTTCTTTTAATTACACATTTTCTCCCTGGAATAATGCAAAATAATAGATTAATATTTGAAGTATTCCTAAGCTGATTGAGCATTAAAAGTTTACTATAATAACAGGAGTATAATTTAAAGCAAGAGAAATATTTAGTCTAGTGAAAAATATGAATCATAAAAAGTCAATAATGAACCACATGAATATAGAATGCAGGCCAGGCGTAGTGGCTCACGCCTGTAATCCCAGCACTTTGGAAGGCCGAGGCGAGTGGATCACCTGAGGTCAGGAGCGAGACCAGCCTGGCCAACATTGTGAAACCCTATCTCTACCAAAAAAATACAAAAATTAGCTGGGTGTGGTGGCGAGTGTCTCTAATCCCAGCTAGTCAGAAGGCTGAGGCAGGAGAATCACTTGAACCTTGAAGTGGGAGGTTGCAGTGAGCCGAGATGCACCACTGCACTCCAGCCTGGGAGACAAGAGTGTAACTCCATCTCAAAAAATAAATAAATAAATAAAATAAAAAATAAAAGCAAACAATTCTGGCTGAATGAGGTGGGTGTGAATATGAGGTTAAACTAATTTTAAAACTCAAAAAAAGGAATGTAAAAATAACATATTTAGGCATCACTGTCACATTATCGTTTGAGAGCACAATAAACAAGGATGAATAGCTACATGAAAAAAGTCAATTAAAAAGGAAGACTAAAAGAAGAAAAAAGAGCAGAAAAAGAAAAAGACAAAAGAGAATTGGTTGCATATAAAAGCAGTTGAACATAAAGTAGAAAAATAGAGGAAAAAGGCCCAGGGGATTTTAAAAAATATGAGCCAAATTTTCTTGTCATACCTTCATCTTTACTGAGGGTGTGAATTTGAAAATATTATCATGTCTCTAGGTATTACCTGTACTCCTGGTTTAATATTTTTTATCTTTGTTTTCCCTATAGCTAATTTCCTAATTTCTTATTTTTCATCTTACTGCACGATATATGTACCATATCTTGAGAACTACAAATAAGCAAAATAGAAGTAATAACTTCTTATAAATTCCTAATAAATGGTGAATTAGCTAATTAATCAGTATTCACAACACTTCCACTGCTCTAATCCAAAACAGGATTAGAATAAGAGTTAATGTGAAGTCTCTGAACTTGCTGATATTGTGTTCTAAATTGTGTACAGGTATAATTTTTTGAGTTCTGAAGCTTTTGTTAGTCTGAAAGCAGAACACTGCTGTGTTAAGAGGCTTTACTCTCAATGGAAGTGCCAACGTACTTAACCATTAGGAAAATAGTATTTGGGCTGCAACACAAGAAAGGGAGCTAACACTTATTAAACACTTCTCATGTATTGATTTCCGCATTCTTTCCATTGTACCAGTGGACTTTAAGACTGCACTTTCTCAAGCATAGCTGGATTTAGGCCAGCTGATACCCTCTGCACAGCCCAACAATGGTGCCTCCTGGCCCTACCACTGCTTTAAAAAAATGCTTAAGAGTCCTTTAGACAAATCAGTTGATGAGTCAAATGCTATCCAGACCAAGCTAGCTGGTTTTGAAACTCACACCATGTGTAAAGAAACAAATGTAATACCTGATGACACTTTCAAATGAAACTTTTAAACTTTTGTCACTCACCATACCACAGAAAATGATTTTTCAACAGTGCAGATTAAATTTGAACATGGCAGATAAAGACCATTACTAAAAATTCTACTAAAGTCAAGTGTGGCAGTGAACGAATTAAGAAGATTATAGCTAGGACAAATAACTCTGTGGCATTTCCCTTAGTCCCCTATGCTCCTGCTTATTTTCCTTAATGATTAATCCAGGGCTGCTCCGGAGCTTTTGCATGAGCAGCCATGAGTAGATTTAAGTAACTGGGTAAAGGTCAGACATATCCTACCCCCAATCAGATAAACTACCTTTGTTATCTATTTGACATACTGGATTTCTTTATAACACTTTATTTAAATAATAATTTCTTTGGTTTAAGAGTTTTAAAATTCTGCTTTTAAATAGGAGACCAATGCAATGTCATACTTAAGTGGTGGGTGAAATAAGCTGAGGACCTGAACTAGGCTACAGATCATGGCTCTACATCCCAATTTAAAAGATCTCTTTCAGGCCAGGCACGGTGGCTCATGCTTGTCATCTCAGCACTTTGGGAGGCCAAGGTGGGTAGATCACTTGGGGCCAGGAGTTTGAGACCAGCCTGGCCAACATGGTGAAACCCCGTCTCTACTAAAAAATACAAAAATTATCTGGGCATGGTGACACAGGCCTGTAATCCCAGCTACTTAGGTGGCTGAGGTATGAGAATTGCTTGAACCCGGGAAGCGGAGGTTGCAGTGAGCTGAGATCGTGCCACTACACTCCAGCCTAGGTGACAGCGCAAGATTCTGTCTCAAAAAAATAAAAATGCATCTCTTTCATTAAATTTTACAGAGTAGTATATATTTATTAATGCAACATACATGTAAATGACTATGAGGTGGTCACTGAGGCTCATGCGCTGTAAGAGTTCCATGTGAGCTTAAACTTATGAGTATTGACTGTGGTTAATGCATTTAAAACTTTACGTAGAGTATCATTGACAATCAAGAAAACTATGTTTGTACAGAATATAACTTTGATAGGATTGTAAGAATCCAATCTTTTAAGTTTAACAATAGGCTACGTTTGTTTTGTTTAGAGATGGGTTCTTGCTCCATTGCCTAGGCTACAGTGCATGATAGTAGCTCACTGCAGCCTTGAACCAGGCTCAAGTGATCCTCCCACCTCAGCTTCCAAGTAGCTAGGACTACAGATGTGCGCCACCATGCCCAGCTAATTGTTCATTTTATTTTTCTGTAGAGATAGGGTTTGCTATGCTGCCCAGGCTGGCCTTGAAATCCTAGTCTCAAGTAATCCCCGTTTGGCCTCCAAAAGTGTTGAGATTAAAGGTGTGAGGCACCTTACCCAGCTAGTATTTTGAAAATTTAATTTTAATTTGATCTTCAATGATAAATGACTAGGTGAAACGACTTGAAAAATTCAAATATATATTGCAAAAACCTACAGAGTAAGAAATCATTCTATCAGTTATGTAGTAACTTTTAACTCCTACTGTTTATTTTTTTATTTAGAGATAGAGTCTTGCTCTGGTGCCCAGGCTGGAGTGCAGTGGTGCAATCTCGGCTCACTGCAACCTCTGCCTCCTGGGTTTAAGCAATTATCTGCCTCAGCCTCCTGAGCAGCTGGGATTACAGGTGCGCACCACCACGCCCAGCCAATTTTTGTGTTTTCAGTAGAGATGGGGTTTCGCCCTCTTAGCCAGGCTGGTCTTGAACTCCTGACCTCATGATCTACCTGCCTCAGCCTCCCAAAGTGCTGGGATTACAGGTGTAAGCCACCATGCCCAGCTAACTCCTACTCTTAATCCTTAACTGGCTAAGCAACTGCAAGACCAAACTATGTAATTAGACAGTACTGAAGAAAATGCCAACACAATTATGTAAATATTATATATAGTGGTTAAGAGCAGGGACTCAAGTTTCCTCATATAATAAGGGTAATAACAGTACCTGCTACAGTAGAACTATTAGGTACTATCATTTGGTACTATTCAGATAATAGTACCTATCAGGGGGTTGTTACAAGGATTAAATGAGTTAACTTATGTAAAGGATTTGCTTGACATACAGTAAAGGCTATGTATTGTTATGATCACAATCTGTCACTGTACTTATAAAATTTATCCTGCATAAATTAGGTGCTATTTTTACCAAAAAGAGAGTCTTGCATATCTATGACTGCAAGGGTCACTGGAGTAGAGCAGAGGTTCTTAAAGGGTGCAGTACCATCCTCTACAGAACATTCTAGAAATCTGTGATGGTAGTTTTTGGTTGTCACTATGATAGGCGAGAAAGGAACATGCTGCTGCAGATATACAATGGGCAGGGACAAATGATGCCAGATGTCCTGTATCTTGCACGGTTGTTCCACATGACAGAACTATCTGGCTAGCAATTCTACTAGACTTTGCTAGTCTGTTTATGCTTTCCTACTCTCCAAAGTAAGTAATCATTTCATATACCTTCCCTGTTCTTAAATTTCCAATATCTTACTATGCCTTAGCTAAAAACACTGCTTCTTATTTCACTAAGAAAATAAAAGCAATCAATAAAGAAATTTCTCTCCGACTACCAAACCTTCCATTCCATGTGTTTCTGTGCTTCCCATATTCTGCCTTCCTTCCCACTACAGTGGATGAACTGCCCCTTCGTTTATCTAAGACCAACTCCTCTACTGCTCTCCTGTATCCCATTTCTTAAGCCTACCTTAAGGATTTTACTCCTTCTACTCTGTCTTGAATTGCTGTTTCCCTGTCTACTGGATCATTCCTATCACTATCCAACAGCTGTTTTCTCTCTTATGTTGAAAAGCAAAACAAAAACTCTCCCTTGACATCACATCTCCCTCATTTCTCTGCTTTACTCTTTATCCAAAGAGTTGTCTATTCTTGGTGTTTCTATTTCCTCTTTCCATTCTATGCTAAACCCACTCTACATCAGGCTTTCATTCCCATTGTTACTCTAAAGCCAGTCTTATGAAGGTCATAGAAGCCTCAACATTACCAAATATGATAGTCAATTATCAATCTTCACTTTACTTAGCAACACTGGACACAATTGATCTCACCCTCCTTGAAATACATTGTGAAACATTATACTCTCCTAATTTCTCTTCTATTTCACTGATTATTTCTCAGTTACCTTTTCTGAATCTTTAACTTCTTGCATGCTAAAAGTAATATGCTAAAAGTGAAATTTTGGCCAGCACAACCTGATGAAATCTAGCATTTAAAACTACAGTTATGTTTACTGTATATAATTTATTTAGCCATTTGATTCATTCATAAATATTTATTCAGCATCTACTATATACCAGGCACTGGAAATATAGAAATAAGCGAAATGACCATACCCTGTCCACACAGAGCTTACATTTTCAGTGGGGGAGACAATCAATAAACAAGTAGATAGACATATACTTAAATGCCAGGCAAAAATAAGTATTATGAAGAAAACCTCATTCAACAATTTTTCTTTGTCTTGGATCTATTACAAAAAAAAATTTTTTTTAACTGTTCAGGCCACCAAAACTATCTTGATGTGTTTGAAAATGATGTTAGGCATTTTTAAAAAAGCTAACATTATCTAAAGGAGATTCTTTATTTCCATATGCAAACTACAGATTAAATCCTATATTGTGGAACATAAGGAATACGAGGAGCAGAAAAGTGAGAAAGTAGTTAGTTCAGAATAAGAAGAGGACCAGAAAAATATTAAATCATAAAAGTCAAGAGAAGAGAAAATATCAAAACGGGGAATGGACAGTTAAATCTACAAAAGCTGAAAAGAGGATACTAAATTTGTGTATTATACAATGAGGTTTTTTTGTGACTTTCAAGAAAACAGTAAATTTAATATTCAAGAGACAAATACAGTAAGTTACACAGTGGGAAGGGTAGTAAGGAAGTAACAACAATGGAGAAATAGAATGAATAAATTTTTTTTTTTTTTTGAGATGGGGTCTCGCCATGTTGCCCATACTGGTCTCAAACTCCTGCCCTCACATAATCCTCCTCCCTCAGCCTCCGAGGTAGCTGGGATTGCAGGCATGTGCCACTGCACCCAGCTTAGAGTGGGTATGACTTTAAGATGTCTGGAAATGAAAGGAAGAGGTAAATAAAGAAGCTTGAAGATACATATTAAATCAGGAAGCAGAGAAGCAAAACAGGCAAGCATATTAAAGGCTTGAAAGTACATGTTCAAGAGGTTCTCTCTAAAAAAGAAGAGGGATGTATCTTTCTTTTAAAGAGAAAAGGGATAAAAGAAGGAAAGATGAACATAAATACTTTAGGGTGAAAAATTATAAGGAACACTGGACTTATTCATACTTTTAAATAATGGCTAATCAGTAAATCAACTTTCCAAAGACAGTGATAGCCAGCAATAACTTATTCTGACATACTGAGCCCAAGTGAACAGTAAATTATGACGAAGTTATGAGAACATTCACCTCAGAACCTACTTTCTCTGGATTCCTCTCACTGCATGTTTCTTCTTCCCATTTTTCTTTTTTTCAGTTTTTTTTTTTAAATTTTTAAGCACTTCCATGTCTATCTACCTATTTTTCATTCTACTTCCTGTTCTGTCTCCCTTTGCCTCTCTCTTTCCCCCTATTATCTCCCCCTATTATCTCACACCATGACCTAGAGAAAATGTCTTTTGGTATTAATTTTACTTAATGTTTAAAATGTAAAATCTTCCTTTTTCAAATATTAGTAGTTTTTCATTTAAATACATGAATTTTCTTCCAAGTAACAAAATGATATGTTTTGGAAACAAATATTACAACTTACAGTATATAAAATACATACCTGAGTTAAACCAGCACCTGTCTGCATAGAAGACTTTTTTAATAGTCTTACTTCTTTGTTTATGTACCTTAGCATCCCACTAAGCGTGCTAAAGTCATTACTCTCAGAACTATCATCTTCTAGGTTATACGTGAGAGGTTTAAATGAGTCTGGCTGGGTGTAAGTCAGATTCTTACGGCTTTCTTCTGATGTTGAAGGCTGTTCTAATTGCATTTTCTTCAAGTCCTGTAGTAATTCTTCAGAAAGATCTTCATCACCATGAGTTTTGAAAGTAAGATCACTGGCACTAATAGAGCGACGTAATTTTGTACACTTGGAAAAAGATGTGTGAAAATGTTTAGCAAATTTTGGATCTTGAACATCAGGCATAATTTCTGTTGGAGATGTAAATGGGCCTGGTAGAAACTTGGTGTCTTCTGCCTTTTCATGTCCAGAAATTTTGGCTTGTAATCTGGTTAATTCTGATTCCTGCAGAAAAATTGGTACATAGTAGGTGTTCAAAACATTTTTGTTAAATGAATGAACTCCTTAGAAAATCATAGACTTTTAGAAAGTCAACCTTTGTCCCAGTATAGGAATTCTGTTGATAATTCTCGAGAATTTTCCAAGCTCTGTTTAAAACCTTTACTTATTTAAGATAGGTTCACTTTGGGAAAATTACACGTGTTCATTTGAAATATGCTTATTCTAAGAAATTCCATTAAAACTAATTTTCCTTATATATATATATTTTTTGGTGTTAATGACAATATGAATTTCTATTCAAGATTGAAATCTTACACCTAAAAATTTCTCTGCAAAAGTGTAGAGGTATGCTAGCTTTTGTTAATCTAACACATGTAGACACAAAAAGACCCCTTTCAGAATTTCCAACAGGGAATAAACAGATATAAGCTATTCTGCTTTTTGTGTTCTCATTACAAGAAAGCTTTATTATATTAGACATTTTTCAAAAACTTAAAAAAGTGATTAATTTTTAATAAATCAATCCTTGTTAAATAAACTTTGCATTTCTATTTTTTTCATGTCTTTTATTTGGGTCCTCTAACTGAACTTTGGGATCCTAGGAGACTACATAAAGTAAAAAACCAAAAAGCCTAAAAAAAGAGATGATATATTAATTTCAAAAGCTTAATAATGTAAGTATAATAGTCTTCTTTTCAAATACATTTGCCTTTTCTTAAAGGTATCCATAAGATACATATTTCTAAATCCTATCCATTTTAATCTGATAGTTTCTGTTCTTAAAGTAGCTTTCAAAAATACTGTGTTCATAACTAAAACTGTCATAACCACAGAATGCATTACAAAATAAAAGTTTAACATGCATATTTCAGTTCTTTCCTGTTTTTATACTACTTCATCTAAAATTGATTTATATGATTTTTTTAAAATACTTTAAGTTCTAGGGTACACATGCACGACGTGCAGGTTTCTTACATATGTATACATGTGCCATGTTGGTGTGCTGCACCCATTAACTTGTCATTTACATTAGGGATTTCTCTTAATGCTATCCCTCTCCCCTCCCCCATCCCATGACAGGCCCTGGTGTGTGATGTTCCCCACCCTGTGTCCAAGTGTTCTTATTGTTCAATCCCCACCTATGAGTGAGAATATCTGGTGTTTGGTTTTCTGTCCTTGCAATAGTTTGCTCAGAATGATGGTTTCCAGCTACATCCATGTCCCTACAAAGGACATGAACTCATCCTTTTTTATGGCTGCATAGTATTCCATGGTGTATATGTGCCACATTTTCTTTATCCAATCTATCATTGATGGACATTTGGGTTGGTTCCAAGTGTTTGTTATTGTGAATAGTGCCACAATAAACATACGTGTGCATGTCTTTATAGCAGCGTGATTTATAATCCTTTGGGTATATACCCAGTAATGGGATTGCTGGGTCAAATGGTATTTCTAGTTCTAGATCTTTGAGGAATTGCCACACTGTCTTCCACAATGGTCAAACTAGTTTACACTCCCACCAACAGGGTAAAAGTGTTCCTATTTCTCCACATCCTCTCCAGCACCTGTTGTTTCCTGACTTTTTAATGATCACCATTCTAACTGGTGTGAGATGGTATTTCATTGTGGTTTTGATTTGCATTTCTCTGATGGCCAGTGATGATGAACATTTTTTCAGGTGTCTGTTGGCTGCATAATGTTTTCTTTTAAGAAGTGTCTGTTCATACCCTTCACCCACTTTTTGATGGGGTTGATTTTTTCTTGTAAATTTAAGTTCTTTGTAGATTCTGGATATTAGCCCTTTGTCAGATGGGTAGATTGCAAACATTTTCTCCCATTCTGTAGGTTGCCTGTTCACTCTGATGGTAGTTTCTTTTGCTGTGCAGAAGCTCTTCAGTTTAATTAGATCCGAGTTGTCTATTTTGGCTTTTGTTGCCATTGCTTTTGGTGTTTCAGTCATGAAGTCCTTGCCTGTGCCTATGTCCTGAATGGTATTGCCTAGGTTTTCTTCTAGGGATTTTATGGTTTTGGGTCTAACATTTAAGTCTTTAATCCATCTTGAATTAATTTTTGTATAAGGTGTAAGGAAGGGATGCAGTTTCAGCTTTCTACATATAGCTAGCCAGTTTTCCCAGCACCATTTATTAAATAGGAAATCCTTTTCCCATTTCTTGCTTTTGTCAGGTTTGTCAAAGATCAGATGGTTGTAGATGTGTGGTGTTATTTCTGAGGCCTCTGTCCTGTTCCATTGGTCTGTATCTCTGTTTTGGTACCAGTATCATACTGTTTTGGTTACTGTAGTCTTGTAGCATAGTTTTAAGTCAGGTAGCATGATGCCTCCAGCTTTGTTCTTTTGGCTTAGGATTGTCTTGGCTATGTGGGCTCTTTTTTGGTTCTATATGAACTTTAAAGTAGTGTTTTCCAATTCTGTGAAGAATGCCATTGGTAGCTTGATGGGGATGGCATTGAATCGTTAAATTACCTTGGGCAGTATGGCCATTTTCATGATATTGATTCTTCCTATCCATGAGCATGGAATGTCCTTACGTTTGTTTGTGTCCTCTTCTATTTCATTGAGCAGTGGTTTGTAGTTCTCCTTGGAGATCCTTCACATCCCTTGTAAGTTGGATTCCTAGGTATTTCATTCTCTTTGAAGCAATTGTGAATGGGAGTTCACTCATGATTTGGCTCTCTGTTGGTCTGTTATTGGTGAATAGGAATGCTTGTGATTTTTGTACATTGGTTTTGTATCCTGAGCCTTTGCTGAAGTTATCAGTTTAAGGAGATTTGGGACTGAGATGATGGGGTTTTCTAAATATACAATCATGTCATCTGCAAACAGGGACAATTTGACTTCCTCTTTTCCTAATGGAATACTCTTTATTTCTTTCTCCTGCCTGATTCCCCTGGCCAGAACTTCCAACACTATGTTGAATAGGAGTGGTGAGAGAGGACTTCCCTGTCTTGTGCCAGTTTTCAAAAGGAATGCTTCCAGTTTTTGCCCATTTAGTATGATATTGGCTGTAGGCTTGTCATAAATAGCTTTTATTATTTTGAGATACATTTCATCGGTACCTAGTTTGACAGTTTTTAGCATGAAGGGCTGTTGAATTTTGTTGAAGGCCTTTTCTGCATCTATTGAGATAATCATGTGGTTTTTGTCTTTGGTTCCGTTTGTGTGATGGATTACGTTTATCGATTTGTGTATGTTGAACCAGCCATGCATCCCAGGGATAAAGCCATATTGATTGTGGTGGATAAGCTTTTTGATGTGCTGCTGGACTCAGTTTGCCAGTATTTTATTGAGGATTTTTGCATCGATGTTCATCAGGGATATTGGTCTAAAATTCTCTTTTTTTGTTGTGTCTCTGCCAGGCTTTGGTATCAGGATGATGCTGGCCTCATAAAATGAGTTAGAGAGGATTCCCTCTTTTTCTATTGATTGGAATAGTTTCAGAAGGAATGGTACCAACTCTTCTTTGTACCTCTGGTAGAATTCAACTGTGAATCCGTCTGGTCCTGGACTTTTTTTGGTTGGTAGGCTAATAATTATTTCCTCAATTTCAGAGCCTGTTGTTGGTCTATTCAGGGATTCAACTTCTTCCTGGTTTAGTCTTGGGAGGGTGTATGTGTCCAGGAATTTATCCATTTCTTCTAGGTTTTCTAGTTTATTTGTGCAGAGGTGTTTATAGTATTCTCTGATGGTGGTTTGTATTTCTGTGGGGTCAGTGGTGATATCCCCTTTATCATTTTTTATTGTATCTATTTGATTCTTCTCTCTTTTCTTCTTTATTAGTCTTGCTAGCAGTCTATCAATTTTGTTGATCTTTTCAAAAAGCAGCTCCTGGATTCATTGAATTTTTTTTGAAGGTTTTTTTGTGTCTCTTTCTCCTTTAGTTCTGCTCTGATCTTACTTATTTCTTACCTCCTGCTAGCTTTTGAATTTGTTTGCTCTTGCTTCTCTATTTCTTTTAATTGTGATGTTACGGTGTCGATTTTAGATCTTTCCTGTTTTCTCTTGTGGGCATTTAGTGCTATAAATTTCCCTCTACACACTGCTTTAAATGTGTCCCAGAGATTCTCATATGTTGTGTCTTTGTTCTGACTGGTTTCAAAGAACATCTTTATTTCTGCCTTCATTTCATTATGTACCCAGTAGTCATTCAGGAGCAGGTCGTGCAGTTGCCATGTAGTTGTGTGGTTTTGAGTGAGTTTCTTAATCCTGAGTTCTAATTTGATTGCACTGTGGTCTGAGGGACAGTTTGTTGTGATTTCTGTTCTTTTACATTTGCTGAGGAGTGCTTTATTTCCAACTATGTGGTCAATTTTGGAATAAGTGCAATGTGGTGCTGAGAAGAATGTATATTCTGTTGATTTGGGGTAGAGAGTTCTGTAGATGTCTATTAGGTCCACTTGGTGCAGAGCTGAGTTCAAGTCTTGGATATCCTTTTTAACCTTCTGTCTCATTGATCTCATATTGACAGTGGGGTGTTAAAGTCTCCCGTTATTATTGTGTGGGAGTCTAAGTCTCTCTGTAAGTCTCTAAGGACTTGCCTTATGAATCTGGGTGGTCCTGTATTGGATGCATATATATTTAGGATAGTTAGCTCTTCTTGTTGAATTGATCCCTTCACCATTATGTAATGGCCTTGTCTCTTTTGATCTTTGTTGGTTTAAAGTCTGTTTTATGAGACTAGGATTGCAACCCCTGCTGTTTTTGTTTGTTTGTTTTGTTTTCCATTTGGTTGGTAGATCTTCCTCCATCCCTTTATTTTGAGCCTGTGTGTGTCTCTGCACATGAGACAGGTCTCCTGAATACAGCACAATGATGGGTCTGGTCTTTATCTAATTTGCCACTCTGTGTCTTTTAATTGGGGCATTTAGCCCATTTCCATTTAAGGTTAATATTGTTATGTGTGAATTTGATCCTGTCTTTATGATGTTAGCTGGTTATTCTGCCCATTAGTTGATGCAGTTTCTTCCTAGCATCGACGTTCTTTACAATTTGGCATGTGTTTGCAGTGGCTGGTACCAGTTGTTCCTTTCCATGTTTAGTGCTTCCTTCAGGAGCTCTTGTAAGGCAGGCCTGGTGGTGACAAAATCTCTCAGCAGTTGCTTGTCTGTAAAGGATTTTATTTCTCCTTCACTTATGAAGCTTAGTTTGGCTGGATATGAAATTCTGGGTTGAAAATTCTTTTATTTAAGAATGTTGAATATTGGCCCCCACTCTCTTCTGGCTTGTAGAGTTTCTGCTGAGAGATCCACTGTTAGTCTGATGGGTTTCCCTTTATGGGTAACCGGACCTTTGTCTCTGGCGGCCCTTAACATTTTTTTCTTCATTTCAACTTTGGTGACTCTGACAATTATGTGTCTTGGGGTTGCTCTTTTCGAGGAGTATCTTTGTGGTGGTCTCTGTATTTCCTGAATTTGAATGTTGGCCTGCCTTGCTACCTTGGGGAAGTTCTCCTGGATAATATCCTGAAGAGTGTTTTCCAACTTGGTTCCATTCTCTCCGTCACTTTCAGGTACACCAATCAAAAGTAGATTTGGTCTTTTCACATAGTCACATATTTCTTGGAGGCTTTGTTCATTTCTTTTTACTCTTTTTTCTCTAAACTTCTCTTCTCACCTTATTTCATTCATTTGATCTTCAATCGCTGATACTCTTTCTTCCACTTGATCAAATTGGCTACTGAAGCTTATGCATGTGTCACGTTCTTGTGACATGCCATCATATCATTTAAGGTCTTCTCTACACTGTTTATTCTAGTTAGCCATTGGTCTAATCTTTTTTCAAGGTTTTTAGCTTCCTTGAGATGGATTCAAATATCCTCCTTTAGCTTGGAGAAGTTTGTTATTACCAACCTTCTGAAGCCTGCTTCTGTCAACTCATCAAAGTTATTCTCCGTCCAGCTTTATTCCATTGCTGGCAATGAGCTGCGATCCTTTAGAGAAGAAGAGGCACTCTGGTTTTTAGAATTTTCAGCTTTTTCTGCTCTGGTTTCTCCCCATCTTTGTGGTTTTATCTAACTTTGGTCTTTGATGATGGTGACCTACAGATGGGGTTTCGGTGTGGATGTCCTTTTTGTTGATGTTGATGCTATTCCTGTTTGTTAGTTTTCCTTCTAACAGTCAGACCCCTCAGCTGCAGGTCTGTTGGAGTTTGCTGGAGGTCCACTCTAGACTCTGTTTGCCTGGGTATCACCAGCGGAGGTTGCAGAACAGCAAATATTGCCGCCTGATCCTTCCTCTGGAAGCTTCATCTCAGAGGTGCACCCGGCTGTATGAGGTGTCAGTCAGCCCCTACTGGCAGGTGTTTCCCAGTTAGGCTACACGGGGATCAGGGACCCACTTGAGGAGGCAGTCTGTCCTTTCCCAGAGCTCAAACTCCATGCTGGGAGAACCACGGCTCTCTTCAGAGTTGTCAGACAGGAACGTTTAAGTCTGCAGAAGTTTCTGCTGCCTTTTGCTCAGCTATGCCCTGCCCCCAGAAGTGGAGTCTAGATAGGCAGGCAGGCCTCATTGAGCTGCGGTGGGCTTCACCCAGTTCCAGGTTCCCAGTCACTTTGTTTACCTACTCAAGCCTCAGCAATGGCGGATGCCCCTTTCCCAGCCCAGGCTGCCACTTTGCAGTTCAATCTCAGACTGATGTGCTAGCAGTGAGAAAGGCTCTGTGGGTGTGGGACCCACTGAGCCAGGCGCGGAATATAATCTCCTGATGTGCCATTTGCTAAGACCACTGGAAAAGTGCAGTATTAGGACAAGAGTGTCCCAATTTCTCAGGTACCGTCTGTCATGGCTTCACTTGGCTAGGAAAGGGAAATCCTCCAACCCTTTGTGCTTTCTGGGTGAGGCGATGTCCCGCCCTGCTTCGGCTCACCCACCGTGGGCTGCACCCACTGTCCAACCAGTCCCAGTAAGACGAACCAGGTACCTCAGTTGGAAATGCAGAAATCACCCGTCTTCAGCGTCAGTCACACTGGGAGCTGCAGACTGGAGCTGTTCCTATTTGGCCATCTTGGAACCCATCCCCAATTTATATGATTTTTAAGTGGCTAGAGTGCCAATTTTTTGTTGTAAATCTTACATTCACATTGTTAAAATCACAATTAACAAAACAGTTGTAGAGTTGGCACAGAATAGGACTGTACACAGCTGCAGTCTTTTTTCTTTTTCCTCCTCTGCATTATCTAGCCATAATTAAGATATGTGGTATCTCATATAAGTAGGATTTTATTTAACCTACAGTTTTAACACGTAACTTTTACAATTAAATATAGTACACTGAATACATTAAATTAATTCAACTTTTTCTTAAGATTCAAAGAAGGTCACTGTTGTGAATGTAATTGTAGTGAACCATAATATAATGATGCCTTCATGGCTCTCAAAAAATGGTTTTTGCCCTTGTTCTAATTACCCTCAAATATAAGGTTGCTAGTTAAGGTACCAGAGAAAGTGAACTAGAAAGACTAGTTGCCTTAAACACTGATCTTTCTTTTCTTCTCCCTCACTTCTGATTTTGTTCCCTGTCATTTACTGATGTTGTCAATGGAATTGCTTTCTATTATTTTTAGTTACAGTTATGCCTGCTTCTCCCCTTCTTTAGACTGTCTTCTTTATTTCTTAGTTTTATCCTCAATTTCTCTTCAGTTTAGACTTTACAGTAGGCTGAGGTTGACTTTGAGAGCTACTGTAAGCCAACATAGGAATTCTATTTTCTGACTGGTATACTGACTAATCACAGTACATATTCTAAGATCTCTATATCTATGATTCATTTAAGAATTGTCAGTCAGTTGTGGTAGCTCATGCCTGCAATGCCAGCACTTTGGGAGGCCAATTTGGGATGATTGCTTGAGCCCAGAAGTTTGAGAAAAGCCTGGGCAACATAAGGAGTCTCTGTCTCTACAAAAAAAAGTTAAACATTAGCTGGGCATGGTGGCATATTCCTGTCGTCTAAGCTACTCGGGAGCTGAGGTGGGAAAATTGCTTTGAGGCCAGTAGGTCAAGGCTGCAGTAAGCTGTGATTGTGCCACTGCACTCCAGCCTGGGCAATGGAGCAAGACTCTGCCTGAAAAAAAAAAGAAATGTTGCTACATAGCCACTATTTTGGTAACTGCCTAAACAGTTAAACTTAAAATCATCTGAATTACTAACACATGCAATCTAATTGTATTTATCTCATCAGTAATATTTAGTAATGAGCAGCAGGGATAATACTGTGACAAGCAATACAGCACAGAATCTAATTTTTAGGGTCAATTTTCTATAATGAAGCTCATAATTCTGTATAAATGTACATTACAGAACATGAAATATTAATAAAATCATTCATAGAGTGTTCAACCTCAATATATTTTTATGTATTAGATTATGTCTATTCAGCTTTCCTCTAGTACTGTTAATATCAACTCTGTTATAAATGGAATTTAAGTATTCAGCTTAGTAACTAGAAATATTTCTAAGGTATTATTTGGCTGAGGTTTTTTCCTTTTCAATAACTTTCATTTTGCTATAAAATCATTTATTGCTTCATAATTATCAGTATATTCTTTTTTAAGGCCTTCACTAAGAACTTTACCCTACATATTGGCAAGTTTGAACCAATGTTTTAATCTCTATGCATCAATACTGATATTAATTTCAAATTCTGGGAGAAACTGCCATGATTAATGAAGAAGAATACAAAGCAAAAGCTATGTAAAAAAAATTTTTTTTTTTGCAGAGACAGGGTCTTGCTATGTTATCCAGGCTGGACTTGAACTCCTGTACTCAAGTCATCCTCCTGCCTTGACTAAAGAACTGGGATTCCTTTTTAAATTATGTCTATATTCAAATCTAGATAAAAACCTCTGAATATAATCTTGGATTGTCTACTTTATTTTTTTCTTTTTTTGAGAAGGAGTCTCACTCTGTCACCCAGGCTGGAGGGCAGTTGTGTGATCTCGGCTTACTGCAACCTCTGCCTCCCGGGCTCAAGCGATTCTTCTGCCTCAGTTTCCCATGTAGCTGTGATTACAGGTGCCGGCCACCACGTCCTGCTAATTTTTGTATTTTTTAGTAGAGACAGGGTGGTTTCACCATGTTGGCCAGGCTGGTCTTGAACTGCTGACCTCAAGTGATCTGCCCACCTTGGCCTCCTGAAGTACTGGGAATATAAGAGTAGGCCACCACGCCTGGCCTACTTTATGATTTTTAAAGATCTTTGCTGATTTTGAAAAGTGCTTCTGCTTTTTTGTTTTAGGTACATCAAGTATAAAACCCTCTAAACATTATGATTAGATGAATTTATATTTGAACATTTATAAATTATATCTTCTATGGTAATAAAATGTACATCTTAATAATTTCCTAAATTCACAATCTTCTAAATAAAATGCTTTTTATTCAAACAGGCCAATATTTGGTCATATAGTCCTCTATAAACTACAAGGACAGGTAAATAAGTCAAGACATTTACGTTTTCATAGATATGCTTTATTACTGTTATATGTTTACTTACTTTAGTAAGTAATGCTTCATTTGCAGCTTCAATTACTTCATTCCTATCTTGGACTTGTTGATGCAAATTGCTTACAGTATCCTGAGCTTCTTCTAATTCCAGTTTTGCCTTCTCTAATTGTTCATTTAGTTGCTGAACAGAAGTCTTTTGAGAGTCAGCAGAAATCTTCCACTTTGCATGGTTCTCTTGATGTGAAATCATCTATATAGCCCCAGAATGGAAAAGAAAAAAAATTAACAAAAAAATAGAATGAAACTGGATTCAACAACAGTCTAATACTTTCTACTTTTATTTACTTTTTCTTTAAAAATAGCAAATTGTTTATAGTTACAAATATCTGATTTCTCAACAAATACTAGAGGAAAAAGGGAGAAAAGGAATCTATAATCTTCAATTTACTCAAGAACTTAATTAACCAAATGCAATGGACTCTATTTGGGTACTGATTTGAACAAATAAATTATAAAGACATTTTTGAGACAACTGGGGAAATCTGAACAATGATTGGATACTTGATGATATTAAGGAGTCACTGTCAATTTTTAGATGTGATAATGGTATTGTGGTTCTGTTCCAAAAAATAGCCCTTATCTTTTAGAGCTATGTTTTGGTTTGGCTCCGTATCCCCACCCAGGCTTCATCTTGAATTGTAAGTCTCGTATGTCGAAGGAGCAACCTGGTGGGAGGTAATTGGGTCATGGGGATGGTTTCACCCATGCTGTTCTCATGATACTGAGTTCTCATGAGATCTGATCGTTTAAAAGTGTGACACGTCCCCTCTTGCTCTCTCTCTACCATCACCATGTAAGACATGACTTGCTTCCCCTTCTGCCATAATTGTAAAAACTAAGTTTCCTGAGGCCTCCCCAGCCATGTGGAACTGTGAGTCAATTAAACCTCTTTTCTTTATAAATTACCCTGAAACTGTCAGCATTCTCCAAACTCCAGAATGGTAGATCCAGTGATAGCCCTTGCACCTGCACCTGGAAAAGCCTCAGGCACTCATGCCAGGCCTGAGACTGTGTAATTTATAAGGAAAAGAGGTTTAATTGATTCAGTTTTTATAGCAGGGTGAAAATGGACTAATAACAGAAAACTGGTATCAGAATAGTGGGGTACTACTATAAAGATAACCTGAAAATGTGGAAGTCACTTTGGAACTGGGTAATGGGCAGAGGTTAGAACAGTTTGGAGGAATCAGAAGACAGGGAGATGTGAGAACGTGTGGAACTTCCCAGAGACTTGTCGAATGGTTTTGACCAAAATGCTGATAGTGATATGGACAATGAAATGTAAGCTAAAGTGGTGTCACATGGAGATGAGAAACTTACTGGAAACTAGAGTATCTTGCTATGTTTTAGCAAAGAGACCAGTGGCATTTTGCCCCCACCCTAGAGATCTGTGGAACTTTGAAGTTGAGAGAGATGATTTAGGGTCTCTGAGAGAAGAAATTTTTAAGGATTCAAGAGGTGATCTGGCTTTTGTGAAAGTGTACAGTCATATGGATTCACAAAGAGATGATCTGAAATCAGAACTTATGTTTAAAAGGGAAGCAGAGCATAAAAGTTTAAAAAAATTTGCAGCTTGGCCATGTGGTAGAAAAGAAAAACCCATTCTATGGGGAGAAATTCAAGCTGGCTATAGAAATTTTCTTAAGTAATGAGGAGCTAAATATTAATTGCCAAGACAATGGGGAAAATGTCTCCAGGCCATTTCAGAGATCTTCAAGGAAGCCCCTCCCATCACAGGCCTGGATATTTAGGAGGAAAAAATGGTTTTGTGGGCCAGGCCCAGAGCCCCATTGCTCTGTGCAGCCTCAAGATGGGGTGACCTGCATCACAGTTGATTCAGCTCCACCCATGGCTAAAAGGGGTCAAGGTACAGCTCAGACCGTTGCTTCAGAGGGTGCAAGCCCCACACCTTGGCAGCTTCCATGTGGTGTTAAGCCTGCAGGTGCACAGAAGACAAGAATTGAGCTTTGGGAGCCTCTGCTTAGATTTCAGAGGATGTGTGGAAATGCCTGGAAGTCCAAGCAGAAGTCTGCTGCAGAGGTGAAGCCCTCATGGAGAACCTCTACTAAGGCAGTCCAGAGAAGAAATGTGGGGTTGGAGCCCCCATACAGGTCCCCACTGGGGCACTGGGTAGTGGAGTTGTAAGAAGACAGCCACCATTCTCCAGACCCCAGAATGGTAGATTCACCAACAGCTTGCATCGTGCACCTGGAAAAGCCCCAGGCACTCAACGCCAGCCCGTGAAAACAGCCACAGGGACTGTACCCTGCAGAGCCACAGGGGTGGAGCTGCCCAAAACTTTGGGAGTCCACCCCTTGCATCAGCATACCTTGGATGTGAAGAATGGAGTCAAAGGAGATTATTTTGGAGCTTTAACATTTAATGACTGCCCCACTGGGTTTCAGATTTGCATGGGCCCTGCAGCCTCTTTGTTTTGGCCAATTTTTCCCATTTGGAAGGGGAACATTTACCCAATGCCTGTATCCCCATTGTATCTTGGAAGTAACTAACTTGTTTTTTATTTTATAAGCTCACAGACAGAAGCAACTTGGCTTGTCTCAGATGAGACTTTGGACTTGGACTTTTGGGTTAATGCTGGAATGAGTTAAGACTTTGGGGTTCTGTTGGGAAGGTATGATTGTGTTTTGAAATGTGAGAAGGACATGAGATCTGGCAGGGGCTAGAGTTGGAATGATACAGCTTGGCGCTGTGTCCCCACCGAAATCTCATCTTGAATTGTAATCCCCATGTATGGAGGAAGGTACCTGGTGGGAGCTTACTGGATCATGGGGGCGGTTCCCCCAAACTGTTCTCATGATAGTAAGTTCATTCTCCTGAGATGTGATGGTTTGAAAGTGTGGCATTTCCACACACTCTCTCTCTCCTGCTGTCAGGTAAGACATGCTTTGCTTTCCCTTAACCTTCTGCCGTGATTTTAAGTTTCCTGAGGTGTCCCCAGCCATGTGAAACTGGGAGTTAATTAAACCTTTTTCTTTATAAATTACCCAATCTCGGTATTTCTTTATAGCAGTGTGAAAATGGACTAATACAAAATACTTATTGAATATAGAATAGTATAAATAGTATACATCCTCATATTTATTTTTGAACAGATGAAATAATTATGTCTACATAATTATGGATGAAATAATTATGTCTACATAATTATTTACGGATGAAATAATTATGTCTAAAATTTGCTTCAAATAATATGTGAATATGGGGGATGGCTTGGGAATGGGTTTAACATTTATGTTAAACTCCGTTCAAGGGAGTTTGGTAACATTTTTGTGGGTGATTGGTGGAGTTTGTGGGGACCATGTCTTGCTTAGATTGGTGGGGCTTGTGGGGACCATGTCTTGCTTAAATACATTTAAGCAAGATTAAGATTAATATGATTTAGAATCATATCTCTTTGAAAGCATTGTGTTGCACACTTCCAAGAATGCTTAGGACTATCTGGGTTTTATGCCTGGTTCCCTCCTGTAATTACTATAGCATTCCTTTTCATTCTCAAAAGTATTCTCTTTTAGATAAAGAAAATGGTCAATGTATTTATGGATGAAATAAATTGGCTATGCATTGATAATTATTAACATTCAAAAATAAATATGAGGATGTATACTATTTATACTATCTATTTTTAAATATATTTAAAATTTTCACAGAAGTTAAAACAATCTCATTCTCCTCCAAAAAGTCAGGAGTTTTGCATTTATTATTAAGGGATTTTCTGACAATTTGGAAACCTATATATTAAAAAATACTGTTGATCTAGAACTAGAAATACCATTTGACCCAGCAATCCCATTACTGGGTATATACCCAAAGGATTATAAATCATTCTACTATAAAGACACAGGCACACGTATGTTTATTGCAGCACTATTCACAATAACAAAGACTTGGAACCAACCCAAATGTCCATCAATAATAGACTGGATAAAGAAAATGTGGCACATATACACCATGGAATACTATGCAGACAAAAAAAAAGATGAGTTCATGTCCTTTGCAGGGACATGGATGGAGCTGGAAACCATCATTCTCAGCAAACTATCACAAGAACAGAAAACCAAACACCGCATGTTCTCACTCATAAGTGGGAGTTAAACAATGAGAACACATGGACATAGGGAGGGGAACATCACACACCAGGGCCTGTCATGGGGTGGGGGGCTAGGGGAGGGATGACATTAGGAGAAATACCTAATGTAGGTGACAGGTTGATGGGTGCAGCAAACCACCATGGCACATGTATACCTATGTAACAAAACTGCATGTTCTGCACATGTACCCCAGAACTTAAAGTATAAAAAAAAAAGAAAAAAAATACTTTTAAAGTATAATAAGAACTGTTAAAAATTATTGATCCTCTTTTCCAGCTCTCTATTACTTTAATACCATATCCTCTTATTTTTATATTCAAACAACATATATATTTTAAAAGTAAATTTTTGTCAACTTCCAAACAGGTAAAAATATATACTTCAATATTATATACAAAATATTAGTATCAAATATTAAATAGCAATATCAAATATTAAAATGCAGTGGCGTGTGCTTATTTTTTTTTTTTTGAAACGGAGTTTCACTCTTGTCACTCAGGCTTGATTGCAATGGCACGATCTCGGCTCCTTGCAACCTCTGCCTCCTGGGTTCAAGCAATTCTCCTGCCTTAACCTCCTGAGTAGCTGGGATTACAGGCATGCGCCACCACGCCCAGCTAATTTTTGTATTTTTAGTAGAGATAGGGTATCGCCATGTTGCTCAGGCTGGTCTCAAACTCCTGACCTCAAGTGATCTACCTGTCTTGGCCTCCCAAAGTGCTGGGATTACAGGTGTGAGCCAATGCGCCCAGTCGGCATGTGCTTTCACTCCCAGCTACTTAGAGGCTGAGGAGGGAGGGTTATCTGAGCTCTGGAATTTGAGGCCAGTCTGAGCAACACAGACCCCAAATCTTTTTAAAAAAGATAGCAATACTGAACTAATTTTACAGTTTATTTTATGTTCTATATATTTATAATTTCAGGTGGCTTATAAAACTAAAAGAAAAAATTGGATAATTATACTTACAAACAGAACAGAGGCCATATAATGAAAGTGTAATGAGTAGTTAAGGGCAAACACTTGAGAGCGCCTAATTATTACTGATGGTTACTAAGTTGAGGTGTTAATAACAATTATATACTTATGCTGAGTCCAACAGCATTCATTCACATTTGTCTCTAAAGATCAAAGGTTGCAAATTCTTAGCCTTAGGATTAGATTCAGCTTGTTTTGTTTGGCAGGCACAATGCTTTCAAAGACATATAATTCCAAATGTGTTTAAGCAAGACATGGTCCCCACAAGCCCTACCAATCACCCACAAAAATGTCACCAAACTCCCCTGGAGTTTAACATAAATGTATTTGCAACCCTTGCCATATTAGAAAAATGCTTTATTAGCACTAAACATAATTTATTTAAATCATATACAAAGATTTTGGGTAATATCTTCAAATGTAGTTTTTAAAAAGATGAAAAATGCTATACTAGTTAATAATACTGCCCATTTCTATGAAGGCTCAAGACATGTTGACAGATAAAAAGGCTCTAGTATTACCTCTCTAGCTAAGTTACTATAAGAAAAAATGTTGAAAATTGCAAAGCATTATAGATTCACATCACATGAAACTCTTTATATCAGTTATTAAATATCTCCAGCTAATCTTTTACAAATGCTATTTTATAATTTATATATTAATTTATTTAATATTCACCACAGTTCTATGAGGTAGATACTGTTATTATATCCATTTTAGACAGAGGTTAAGTAACTTACCCAAGGTCATACAGGTGGCTCCGTGGTGAGCCAGGGTTTAGAACCAGGTTGCCTGGCTCAAGAATTCAAGCTCTTAACCCCACAGTGTATTAAAGTGAAAGCTATATGTGTAGGCTACCAGAAATGAAGACCACAATGTATTATTCAATAATGAACACTTAAGAACTGGACTCATACTTTTGTCCAGATAGGTCAACCTACTGTAGTGGGCACTACCAAAACAAATTAAATTTTTCTTTACCTCCATATGATAAGCTTCTTTGAGAGATTCTACTTCTGCTGACAATTTCTTGATTTCTGCTTGCATTCTTGCTTCTAAATGAGCTTCACGTACTTTAGAAGCCCCCAATTCTTCAGCTAAATGGTTTCCATGAGCATCCTTAAAAATGACATATTGAGTAAAAGCTATAAAACTTATTTGGTTATTATAGCTAAACTAATCCAGTGCATTATTGGAAGTAATGTTTTATATTATATAAACACAGACACAAAGTTAACTTACTAAATAGTATGCTTTAAAATCTAGACATTTCAGAGACTATTAATGGGAGAGTATTAATGTAATTGTTTGCTGTCATCATAAATTAGATGTTCACTAACCAATGCTTTCTATAAAATGAACTATTAATAATAACCACTGGACACTGGACTCTGGCAGATAACAGTCTACTGCTAGGTATGCTTGTATATTTTTGCTCACTATATATATTGTCTGTTTATCAAGAGTCAGTTGTGTTTTTTTCCAAACTTATTTATGCTAATTTAGCTAACTGTGCTTGTAATTTTAATTTTGTAATATTATTATAGATTATGAACATAAATAAGCAAAGTTTTTATTCAAAATCTAAGTTATATGTTTTGAACCAGCTCAATGAGTAAGTCATGAACATTTTGCTATCCAATTAGAAGCACTCAAAATTGTTATAAAATATTGTAGGAGGTCCCATAAAAATATAACATGTTTTAGTCTGATTCATTTACAAATGTCTTTTAATTAATTCTTCCTCCACTTCAAAGAAAGCAACATTGGAAACTATAGATGATGGAATATAGTGCGATGAAAGACCAGGTAGGATTCTAGTTATGTGAGAAAGACTAGGTAGAATTCTAATCAAATAACTCATACAAAAAGAACCAAGGTTTGGCCCTACATCAAAGGAGAAACATATCAATATATATTTAGTTTTGGGTTAAAATATAATATTTAAAACACTGTCAATTAAAAAATTCCTCACTTTAATTCACTTTTTAAAGTGAGCTTAGCTTATCAAATAAAAACCAATTGTACTATACTTTGACACTATTGATAAAGGCAGAAATGAGATAAAAGTAGATAGCTCTCCTTTCCAAGAACCCCAAATGTATAATATCTCTCTAATAAACATTCTCTATGTATGCTTTACTGGTCTAACCATCCAGAAATGTGAATAACAACATAGGTAGGTTTAACCAAAATTAAAGGTAAAAATATTTTAATTCAATTCCTATGTTCGTAACCACAATGGAAAGCAGAAATTTTTTTTGCAACATCAATAAACACGTTTTTCTTAAAGTCTAAATAATTAACCCAAGTATACCAATCTAAATATTTTTAAGCCAAGTAGTTAACTTCCTACCAAATACTGGGAAAATAAAATTTATATTAGTACTCTTGCTTTTTAAAAGCACTTTACCTCCAAGTTACTTTACCAACCAAGGGTTTTGAAATACAGGTTTCCTAAAAGTTACAAATTTACATAGTTACAAATTTGTATAGTTTTCTTTTTTTTTTTTTTTTTTTTTTTTTTGAGATGGAGTCTCTCTCTGTTGCCCAGGCTGGGGTGCAGTGGCACGACCTCAGCTCACTGCAACTTCTGCCTCCTGGGTTCAAGCGATCCCCCTGCCTCAGCCTTCGAAGTAGCTGAGACTATAGGTGCCCACCACCAAGCCTGGCTAATTTTTTTGTATTTTTGGTAGAGACGGTGCTTCACCATATTGGCCAGGCTGGTCTTGAACTTCTGACCTTGTGATCCGCCCGCCTCGGCCTCCCAAAGTACTGGGATTACAGGCCTGAGCCACCTTGCCCAGACAATAGTTTTCATTTTTAAGAGTCACGAAAAATGTAAAAATGTTTACTCAGAAAAGATTAGTTTTATTTTTTCTTCAAGTAAGAGCCTGAACTCACTTAAAAGTCTAGAAGTGCTTTATAACTCAATTTATTGAGAACTAGTTTGGCCAAAACGCAGTTCTGAAGGACTTCCCGGTTATATTACAAAGTTATCTATATATAACACAGTTCATCATTTTCTAAAATTGTGGTAAAATATACACAAAATTGACCATTTTAACCATTTTTAAGTGTATAATTCGGTGGGATTAAGTACATTCACACTGTGGTGTGATACAGTTCATTTTTGCAAGAACTATATTCTGCAGTTCAAAAAAGTGAATGCTAAAATTGGTAAGATTTCAGAAACATAAGATTATTTAAAATAGGGATTACTTTCTCTTTAGAGAGTTGCTTTATATCCTCCAGTTCGCTAGAGAGCCTTTCTGTTTCTCTCTGTGCTTGGACTTGTTGACGACGAGCCTCCGCCAATTCTGTATGAGAGTTCTGCACCTGCTCCCGGGTTAGCCTCAATTCTTGCCCCAAATCTATGGCCTCCTTGTACTGAGTGGCAATGTACTGTTCCTGCTCTTTCATAACCTGAAAAACATAAGGTATTTGTAGGTTTCAGAATGAAATATACAGATAACCTATTTCTTATTCTGATTTTGCTTAATAAGTAAATTTCCCCCTTCCAACTAAATCCTTTAACATACAATGAGTATGTTAAAATGTAACATACAATGAGTATCACCCACTGTGAAACTGATATTCAAGAAAAAAAAATCTATAAGAAAATGACAAAAATACCATAATTGGGACTCTTATTGATATATATTACATGACTGTAACATATACCAGCCATATAATCTTTTATCATTTTGAAAGTAACACTTATAACAGAAAACATAAAGAGAAAAGAGAAGTTAACATTTGATTATCTATGTCAAAGAGAATATATTGGTATAGATAATTAAAATCCACCATTTAATCCACACAGCTGGGTTAAGGTCTTATTCTCTGTGAAAGTAAAACTTGTCACTGGGGCTGCTACTCCCACTGAAATGGTTTTATATTACTCAATTAAATTTCAAATAAAGTATTTCTCCCCCTCCCCACCTCCTCCTTCTTCTTCCTTTTCTTCCTCTTCTTCCTCTTGTTCCTTTTCTTCTTCTTTGTTTGGTAAAGGCTCCTGCTCCGTTGCCCAGAATGGAGGGCAGCGGTGTGATCACAAATCACTGCAGCCTTGACCTCCCAGGCTCAAGCAATCCTCCCACCTCAGCCTCCCAAGCAGCTGGGACCACAGGCATGCATCACCACACCTAGCTAGTTTTTAAAGGTTTTTGTAGAGACAGGGGTCCCACTGCTACAATGCCCAGGCTAGTCTTGAATTTCTGGGCTCAAATGATCCTGCCAACTTGGCCTCCCAAAGTGCTGGCACTACAGGTGTGAGTCACCGTGCCTGACCCTAAATTCACTTTTTAAAAAGGCAAGTGGAGGAATGAATTCACCAGTCAACGCACATGCATAGTGATGATATGAAGTCATCAGACTTCATCTGGCAAGTCAGTACACTTGGTCTTAATAATGTGCAATTATTTATTTATCCATTCTTTCGATGGAGTTCCCAATACACAAAACACCGTATCTTATTAATAGCTGACTCTTCGGCTGGGCACAGTGGCTCACGCCTGTAATCCCGGCACTTTGGGAGGCCGAGGTGGGCGGATCACAAGGTCAGGAGTTTGAAACCAGCCTGGCCAGTATGGTGAAACCCTGTTTCTACTAAAAATACAAAAATTAGCCAGGCGTGGTGGCAGGCACCTGTAATCCCAGCTACTTGGGAAGCTGAGGCAGGAGAATCACTTGAACCCGGAAAGCGGAGGTTGCAATGAGCCGAGATTGTGCCACTGCACTCCAGCCTAGGTGATAGAGAGAGACTCCGTCTCAAAAAAAAAAAAGCTGACTCCTCAATTCTGTTACACAGCAGTTTCTCAATAAATATTTGTCAAGCAAATAAGCATATATTGTAGATTTACTATATGAAAGATACCATGCAAAGGCCTGTATACAGAGATAAATGAGACATTGTCTTTGCCTATACCTAGACCATCAGAAAAATATTTTAAAAGGTCAAAGAAACTAACAGGTTTCTGGCACAAATAACTACCCTAAAAACAGTTATGGCACAGTTTTTGTATATTAAAACCAACCAGTTTAAAACATAAAGATTCTTTTCACTCAACAGAGACTATCACTTGTTCCTTAGGTGGAAATAATTTGCTTACACTCTCCATTTCTTTCATCCTTTGTTGTGTTCTTTCGATTTCTTTTTTCAGTTGACTTATCTCCTGTTCATTTTGTAGCATTATAAACTCTTTTTCTCGAAGCTGTTCTTTAGCATTTTGTAACTTGTCATTCAAACTTTCTATCTGAATTTTAAACAGATAAGCAATATCAATAAAACTAATGAAATATAATTTAATCAATGCTGTGTTCCAAGTGTCAAGATTTAAACACTTATATCTAAAAGCAAAATATAAACAGGTATTCTTAAGGCAATCATATCTTGGAAATAAGCACAAGAATTCTTGTTCTTGGACGTTACCAGAAAGGCAGAATAAAGGGTAACTCACATTCCCCCACAACAACAGGAATCCTGCACCCTCTCAGACTTCACCACTATAAAATGTATCTATGTAACCAAAAACTACTTGTACCCCAGAAGTGATTGAAATTTTAAAAACTAAAAATAAATAGAGGTTGTATTCTACCATTATATTAGAGAAGACTTTTTTGTTTTTGTTTTAGCTTATAGAAGTCTGTAAATTACAAAATGAAAATTGTGTCTTCACCCCAGTCTCTCAACAATATCTAAAGGTAAATAAACACTGTTAATTTAAAATAAAACACAAAAAGAATCCTGCACCTATCCACAGTCAAGTCTCTTTGCAGGAGCCTCAGGATTCAGGTAGGGGTTTGTGAAATCCTGGTAGAGACGAAGACCTGGGAGGGTTATTTTGAGAGCACAGACAGAAACCCAGTTGGCTGTTATGTCAAGCTTGCTTCTGGGTTCAAGCCTGGAAATAGCCCCCATCCCCAAGGGACTTGGCTACAGCTCCATTTGGCCTTGAGCCTACAAGCACAACTATCTGCAAAGGGGTCCATAAGGAATCATGCATACTAGTGCCTTAGTGGAAAGGCTCTCTCCCTGCTGACATCAGTCTCAGCAGTGAACCAGAAAGTTGCCTGGTGACTCTGCTCCAACTCCCCTCAGTTGCAGTCCCAGCTCAGAGCTGCTCACACACAGACCCAAAGGGAGACCTGTCCTTATCCTGCAGCCTAGGAGTCTAAGCCTCCTTGAAAGGCTTGCCAACCTCTGTCCCACAGCAGATCCCAAGGGGACCCAGTCTCAGCTCTAACTCTCCTGCTGCAATCAGGGAACTATCCCATCTGTGCAGGTACTTGCTGGGAGACACCTGCCCCTCTGAAATAATGAGACAGGCTCTCCTGCCTCTGTCCCACAGCAGATGCTAAAGGGGTTAAATTTCAGCTCCAGCACCTCCTACTGCAGACAGGGAACTATTCCATCTAAGCTGAGACCTGCTGGCCCTGTTTGGGCAAACAATATAGGTTCTCCAGCCTTCATCCCACAGCAGATGCTGAGGGGGCCCAGTCTCAACTCCAGCTCCTCACACTGTCATTGGGGAAATACCCTTTGAAGGAGCTTGCTGGGCTACGTGTGCCCCTCTAAGCTGAGACTGGGCTCTCCAGCCTCCATTCCACAACATATCCCAAGAGGGCCAGTCTCCACTCCAGCCCCTCTCATTGCAACTAGAGACTCATCCCACCTGTCAAAAGATTTGCTGGGAAACATGCCCTTCTGGGCCACCAGGTCAGCCTTCTGGACCTGGGTCCCTGGCAAGCATTCCCACAGCCTTAGTATGCAACTTGAACCTTTCCCAGGTCCATGTGGGCTGGAAAGCCACGTCAACCTTGGAGCCCTCATAAGACCTGCAGCAAGCCTGGATGTAGATCATTCTCCAGTGTTCAACAGCTGCAGTGATCACAGCCTCAGGGAACACAAAAGCCAGTTTGCTTAAATTCCTGGAAGGGCCTCCCAAAAAGGATAAGCACAAACTAAGCCAGACTGCAAAAACTAAAATAAATACCTAGTCCCTAAATATGCAGATGTCATTGCATATCTACAAGCATCAAGAACATTCAAAGAACTACAACCTTACCAAATGAACAAAATCAGGCACCAGACAGTGATCTCTCAAAGAACTGAAAATAGCTATTTTAAGGAAGTTCAACAAACTCTAAGAAGATGCAGAGAATCAATTGAGAAATTTATCAGAAAAATTTAACAGAGAATAAAATAATTTTTAAAATATCAAACAAATTTTGGAGCTGAAAAATACAATAAATGAAGTGAAAAACGAAATAAAGAGCATCAACAGCAGAATGGGTCAAACAGAATCGGTGAGCTTGAAGATGGACTATTTGAAAGTATATAGGGGCAGAGCAAGATGGCCAAATAGGAACAGCTCCAGTCTCCAGCTCCCAGGGCCAGCGACACAGAAGATGGGTGATTTCTGCTTTTCAACTGAGGTACAAGGTTCATCTCACTAGGGAGTGCTAGACAATTGGTGCTGGTCAGCTGCTGCAGCCCGACCAGCGAGAGCTGAAGCAGGGCGAGGCATTGCCTCACCTGGGAAGCACAAGGGGGAAGGAAATCCCTTTTCCTAGCCAGGGGAACTGAGACACACAATACCGGGAAAATCGGGTAACTCCCACCCCAATACTGCACTTTACCAAGGGTCTTAGCAAAAGGCACACCAGGAGATTATATCCCAAACCTGGCCGGGAGGGTCCCACGCCCGTGGAGCCTCCCTCATTGCTAGCACAGCAGTCTGTGATCTAATGGCAAAGGCAGCAGCGAGGCTGGGGGAGGGGCGCCCACCATAGCTGAGGTTTAAGTAGGTAAACAAAGCTGCTGGGAAGCTCGAACTGGGTGGAGCCCACAGCAGCTCAAGGAGGCTTGCCTGTCCCTGTGGACTCCACCTCTGGGGACAGGGCACAGCTAAACAAACAAACAAAAAAGCAGCAAAAACCTCTGCAGACGTAAACAACCCTGTCTGACAGCTTTGAAGAGAGCAGTGGATCTCCCAACACGGAGGTTGAGATCTGAGAAGGGACAGACTGCCTGCTCAAGTGGGTCCCTGACCCCTGAGTAGCCTAACTGGGAGACATCCCCCACTAGGGGCAGACCGACACCCCACACCTCACACGGTGGGGTACACCCCTGAGACGAAGCTTCCAAAGCAAGAATCAGACAGGTACACTCACTGTTCAGCAATATTCTATCTTCTGCAGCCTCTGCTGCTGATACCCAGGCAAACAGGGTCTGGAGTGGACCTCAAGCAATCTCCAACAGACCTACAGCTGAGGGTCCTGACTGTTAGAAGGAAAACTAACAAACAGGAAGGACACCCACACCAAAAGCCCATCAGTATGTCACCATTATCAAACACCAAAGGCAGATTAAACCATAAAGATGGGGAAAAAGCAGGGCAGAAAAGCTGGAAATTCAAAAAATAAAAGTGCATCTCCCCCTCCAAAGGAACGCAGCTCATCGCCAGCAATGGATCAAAGCTGGATGGAGAATGACTTTGACGAGATGAGAGAAGAAGGCTTCAGTCCATCAAACTTCTCAGAGATAAAGGAGGAATTACGTACCTAGTGCAAAGGAACTAAAAATCTTCAAAAAAGAATGGAAGAATGGATAACTAGAATAATCAATGCAGAGAAGGCCATAAACGAACTGACAGAGATAAAAACCATGACACGAAAAATACGTGACAAATGCACAAGCTTCAGTAACCGACTCAATCAACTGGAAGAAAGAGTATCAGCGATTGAGGATCAAATGAGTGAAGAAGCGAGAAGAGAAGTCTAAAGAAAAAAGAGGAAAAAGAAATGAACAAAGCTTTCAAGAAGTATGGGATTATGTTAAAAGACCAAATCTACGTCTGATTGGGGTGCCTGAAAGTGAGGGGGAAAATGGAACCAAGTTTGAAAACACTCTTCAGGATATCATCCAGGAGAACTTCCCCAACCTAGTAAGGGAGGCCAACATTCAAATTCAGGAAATACAAAGAACGCCACAAAGATACTCCTCGAGAAGAGCAACCCCAAGACACATAATTATCAGATTCACCAAAGTTGAAATGAAGGAAAAAATGTTAAGGGCAGCCAGAGAGAAAGGTCGGGTTACCCACAAAGGGAAGCCCATCAGATTAACAGCAGATCTCTTGGCAGAAACTCTACAAGCCAGAAGAGAGTAGGGGCCAATATTCAACATTCTTAAATAAAAGAATTTTCAACCCAGAATTTAATATCCAGCCAAACTAAGTTTCATAAGTGAAGGAGAAATAAAATCCTTTACAGACAAGCAAATGCTTAGAGATTTTTCACCACCAGGCCTGCCTTACAAGAGACCCTGAAGGAAGCACTAAACATGGAAAGGAACAACCGGTATCAGTCATTGCAAAAACATGCCAAAATGTAAAGAACATTGATGCTAGGAAGAAGCTGCATCAACTAACGAGCAAAATAACCAGCTAATATCATAATGGCAGGATCAAGTTCACACATAACAATATTAACCATAAATGTAAATGGACTAGATGGTCCAATTAAAAGACACAGACTGGCAAACTGGATAAAGAGTCAAGACCCATCAGTTTGCTGTATTCAGGAGACCCATCTCACATGCAGAGACACACATAGGCTCAAAATAAAGGGATGGAGGAAGATCTACCAAGCAAACAGAGAACAAAAAAAAGGAGGGGTTGCAATCGTAGTCTCTAATAAAACAGACTTTAACACATCAAAGATCAAAAGAGACAAAGAAGGCCATTACATAATGGTAAAGGGATCAATTCAACAGGAAGAGCTAACTATCCTAAATATATATGCACCCAATACAGGAGCACCCAGATTCATCAAGCAAGTCCTTAGAGACTTACAAAGAGACTTAGACTCCCATACAATAATAATGGGAGACTTCAACACCCCACTGTCAACATCAGACAGATCAACGGACAGAAAGTTAACAAGGATATCCAGGAATTGAACTCATCTCTGCACCAAGCGGACCTAATAGACATCTACAGAACTCTCCACCCCAAATCAACAGAATATACATTCTTCTCAGCACCACATCACACTTATTCCAAAATTGACCACATAACTGGAAGTAAAGCACTCCTCAGCAAATGTACAAGAACAGAAATTATAACAAACTGTCTCTCAGACCACAGTGCAATCAAACTAGAACTCAGGACTAAGAAACTCAACCAAAACTGCTCAATTACATGGAAACTGAACAACCTGCTCCTGAATGACTACTGGGTACATAACAAAA